TAGCCCAACCTTAGGCATGTGTAAGATTTTGTTATGGGACCCAGGTAGTAGCTTCATTGAGCAACAAATAAAACTTAATCGAATCATGCAAAAAGTGGTCAAGTGGTGGTATACAGGGCAACTAGCTCTACCTTTTAATTCACAACTAAGGCTTTTTCATATGAAGCCAAAGTCTAGGTGGCTAGGCCCCTTTAAAGTTGTTAAAGTCTTTTTGCATGAAGCTGTGGAAACTTTTTATGAGGAAGATAGTAGAAAATTCAAGGTTAATGACAAATAGGTCAAACACTATTAGAGAGATGTTAGGGAGAAGGTTTTTGTCTTCCTAAGAGAGCTTAATTGAAACTGATCAAGAAAAGGAAGCAAGAAGTCTAGCTAAAGACCACAAACTAAGCATGTTAGATTTTTTTTTCTTATCTTTGATTATTTTATTTTCTTGTTTGCTGCTTGTTTTCTCAAAGTTAGTTTAATTTTTTTGCAAAATAGCTTGTTTTAATAAATAAATAAATAAAAAAGAATACGAAACAGAATTGATGTAAACTAATGGAGATTTTAATACATTGATTTTGTTTTGCAGGTGTCAAGTGAGAGAGTAAGCTGATACATATTGCAGTGAGTAAAGTCTGAGTTTGGGGGAAATTGGACAACACCTTTCAAGTGGAGCATCATTTGATTTTGAATTAAATTAGACCCTTAGGTTCAGCTATCCAATGTTCCCCCACCAATTGCACCACTTCTACCTCAAGTTGAAAAAGAATCCACACCCTCTACATAAAAAAAGAGAGGTAGACCAAGAAAAGTTAGTGAAAGAAAGATGGTGCAGCAGAATATTGAAGAATAAAAGTAGCATGAATCCAAAGAGGAAAAAGAAGAATTTTACAGTTATGAGCGTTCAGAATTAGAGGATCTTGACAAATCTCAATCTAAATGATCAAATTTTGATGATGAGTAGGGCCAGAAGAGTCTGGCCCCAGGTTACCAAGTTTATTTTTCTATTTTGCATGTGTATGGTAATCTGATTTTGATAAACAATGGGGACACTATTTAGTTTGAGTTTGGGGGAGAAGAGTTCGAAATAATTTTCTATTTATTTGCTATTTTTGTTTATTTGTTGTTTTTGATTTTGTGAATATAGATTCTATTTTTCCTAGTTTTTTTGTTGTGCTATTTTTGGACATTAAGAGAAGAGTGGATTAGTGGTTGTGTGATAATAGCAGAGTGAGATTGATAGATTGATTAATTAATTCAAAGATTACATTAGATCAATAGGTAGTTGTGCGAGCAATTAAACTTAACCCGGTGAGGATTTTGGCCTAAACAGTTATTTTTTTTTTATGAGAGATCCTCATTTGGGATAGATAAGGAAGAACTTGTTTTGGTCTTGGTTGATTAAGTGTATCACTAGTTTTGTTTAAAATGATGAGGGCATTCATTGCTTTTATTTGACCACTTTAAGCCAAAAAGCCATCCCTAAAAGATATCCCATTAAAAACCCCTTTGAGCCTTGAGCTTTTTTGTTTTTTATCAATCCACATTATCCCTCATTCCACAATCTACCACACTATTTAGTTATGATGGAAAACAGAAAAAGAAAAAGAGAAAATTTAGAGGCAAGTTACTGTTCTAAATAGATAAAAAATTCATGGCTAAAAAGAAATTTAATGCAAATGACTACCTATTGAATGATTTTTCTGTTTGAAAAAAAAAAAAAAAAAAGAGATCTTAAGAAGCATGAAAAATAGCAGTCAAGGTAGCAGCCATTGAATTGTTGGATTAGTGCCTCAAGAATATATTTTTCCATCATAATTAAATTAGCCAATATCCCCACAGATTTCCTACCTTTACTTAGGCCAAATTACAATCCATAAAAGACCCTTTGATTGAGCTTAAGCTTGTTGTTCCACTTAGGAGACTTAAGCCTATCATAAAGTTATTCCAGTGAGGTTTGATAAAGACAAATCCTTGAAACACTGAGTGGAAATTTTGGGAGAAAGTGAGTCATTGCTACTTTCAATTGCCTAGTGTGATAATTGTATTCTCTGTGTTAAGAAATGAAAAATCAAGATCTTCTTTGTTATTATTTCATTAGCCACTGAATACATTCATGTACTTGAAGTTTGCACACTGCTTGCTAAGTTGTTTTGTTAAATAAATGCCCACCCAAGCTATCTGATTAGTGACTGATTTGCTGCTGAATTAATTATATGTTTTTGAGTAGGTGTCATGAAGTTAACCATTCAGAATGTCCTGAGAAAGTTGAATTGTTTGACTGTTATCTTGGCACATTGTATGAAAATCTGATTGAAGTCTTTTGGAACTAGATAGAACATTGGTCCATGATGAGGAAGTTGACAGAACTATTTGAGGATTGTTTTGTAAAAAATGTATGGTTAATAGTTTTTGAAAAAATGGATTGGAAGTGTATAAAGGATTGAAGAAAATGTTCATAAAAAGAAAAGGTTATGTGTTATCTTGAAAATCTTTTTGATTGTGAATCATGTTGTTGAGTGGTGTTAATTGTTTAATGATTGAAGATTGATAATATGCCCATTGTTTTATGCTGACTTGTTTTTGCTTGAGGACAAGCAAAATGATGAGTTTCGTGGTCTGTTGAGACTCTGAAAAGAGACTCTAGAAATTATTGAGTCTATTTATTTTTAGATAAATTGGCAATATTATAGCCCATTCTTATCTGTTACATAGCATATTTTGTTAAAAATTGTTGATAGGCTTTTCATTATGTATTTCAGTTAACTAAAGAGCTAAAGGCCCAAAAGTCAAGATCAGTCTTTGCAGTCCAAGGGTAGAGTTGAAAAAAATAGAAAAAGGTGGAGGGAAAGTTTGGGATTGAAGAAAAAGAGATAACAAAATGAGTGGATGGTACAATCAGTTCACAAACCCTAAGCTCGTCTTTTTTTCCCTTTTCGTTTCTTTGATCCATAACCACATCACACTCCAATCAACCCCATTTCGAACAGTAATTTCTGCAACTAACTTAGAGAAAATAAGGCAGCACAATCTCCTTTGGGTCTTAATATAATAGGACTCTCAAAGTTGTTTAGGGCATAGCTAGAGATATGAACAAACTACTTTTTGTAGCAAAACTTGGTGCTAGAGAAATCTATATCCAAGGTCATAAAGGGTATGTATGACAACCATTCTGTTCTAAAAAGAAACAATCATTTTCTATTTCTGTGCCTTGGAAAAGTTTCTAAGAAAAAGGTGGCAGTGGCGGCGGCGTGGTGGTGGTGGTGGCGGCATTGGTAGTGGTGATAGCAATGGCTGCGATGATGGTGGTGGTGGTGGTGATGATGATGGTGGTGGCATGGTAGTGGCGGTGGTGGTGGGGGCAACGTGGTGGCGTGGTGATGGTACTGGTAGTGGTGGTGGTGACGACAGTGGTTGCGGTGGTGGTGGTGATAATGGTGGAAGCGGTTGTAATGATGGCGATGGTGGTTGTGGTTGTGACAGCAACGATGGTGGTGGCGCGATAATGGTTGCTGCATCGATGATGGTGACAAGAGTGACGATAGTGGCTGCAACGATGATGACGGTGGTTGGTGTCAGTGGTTGTGGCGGCGATGGTGATAGTGGCATAGGCGTGATGGTGGTGACGGTAGTGGCTGCAGCGATGGTAGTGATGGTTGGTGACAGTGGTTGTAGTGGTGGCAATGGTGGTAGAGTGGTGGCGGCAGTGGTTGCAATGATGGTTGTGGTGGTGGAGATGGTGGAGGTGACGATGATTGCAGTAGTGATGGTGGCATGGTGGTAGTGGTAGGTGGAGGTCGTGGTGATGGTAGCAGTGGCATCGTGATAGTGGTGGTGGTGGTGACGACAGTACTAATGGTACAACGACAGCGGCGACGATGGTGGCGGTGGTGATGGTAGAGGTGGAGAGTGATTGAGAAAGACAAGTGTTTCTCATTTTAGGCCCAGGAACAAAAAACAAAAAACAAATTGATTCTTTTTTCTACTCCTCAGCACAAAAACTAAACCAGGTCATCCCGGGAACAAAAAAATAAACAGGTTTTACCAAACGCGTTTTCTATCCATTTATGTTCCCAAGAACAAAAATAAAAAAATTGATTCCGGAAAGGTTGTTATGCACACCCAAAGAGTACCTAGAGTTAATTCCATTCTTCGAAGCAGATGGAGCTTTAGGAATGACCGACAGAGCCTGAGCCTATGCTTTTTATCTAGATTCAAAGTTATTTTTATTTTCTTTTGTTACTTCTTTATATTTGAAGAATACAAAACCTCCAAAACATCATTTTTCTCTTTGTTCTCTAATATTTTCTGTTACTGTTCTCAACTGCAATCTTTTCCAATGATGTTCTCAATATGATTGATTTCCAATTTCTCCTCTCAACCACATTGCTTTTAATTTTTCTTTCAACTGCAATGCTTCCATAACTCCTTCTACTCTCGTTCCACTGTTTCCAACTATTGCTCTTAACTTCAACTTTTTCAGATTTCTTCAAGGAGAAACTCAAACTAAGGCTAAGGGATTACCCAGTTCTTAATCATTTCAGAATCATTGACTTTTTTCAATCAAGTTGGTGACAAGTACTTTTTGGCTAACCTTAACCTTCGGACAATTTGGTTCCTTGAAGCAAATTGCTCTTAACTTTCTGCTTGCTCTCAACTAACTTGTTTTTTTATTTACATTTCTTTCAACGCATCTTTTACAACATTTCCCTGAGGACTATAATCTGGGGCTCATAAAAACCATATATTACTTGATGTGTACGCTTGCACATTTTGGGTAGATTTGCTCTTCAGATATATATTTTCTCCTCAAACATAACAGTTACTCCTCACATATTTTGCTCCCATTTAGCCTCGAGCAGATCTCGGCCCAACAAACACAGATATTAAATTCCCCATATAAAGAAAATAAAAAAAATTAGCCTAATGTTTGCAATGAAAATTGTCATTGGTGAGATATATGGCAGATAAGCGTGTTCATTTGTCCCTATAAGATTATAATTCAACCAACTCACCATAAAAATCTCTACGTGAAAGTGGGAAGACATTTCACGAACACTGTTCAGGGCAAAATTAGTTAGCTTGTGTTGAACAACCAAGATTGCTCTGAAAACACGCTCTTCATGTAAGCGTTTGGCATAAGTCTTCATCGTCTTTACCCCAACCTTAACTTCCTCAGGGAAAAAAACATAGATCTGGTACAAAGACAAACCAATAAGAATGCAAAACATTAAAACAAATTACAAAATGATAAAAATGGAAAATATGTGTACATGAGAAGTGTAATGAATTCAATGTTGTAAGAGTACTAAACCTGATACAATGTGGCACTGAGAAAATAAATGGTATGGTCATATACAATAATGGGGTAGAGTTCAATGTCCCTCACTTGGTTTATTCTATTATCACTTATCCTTAATATTTGTTTTTTATCACTTATTTCTCATGTAATTTTATTTGCATAAATTATTAATTTTGACCCATAATGATTCTAGTTTTTTTTAGAGTTTAGGGTTTAGCTTGCTCCCATCTTACATGACTCTTATTATCTTCATAAAGTGTTTATGAAAGTATTAGAGGGAATTTTCACTTCTTAACTATTGAACTTAAAAATTGATCATACTATTTTTTTCTTAAAACAAAGTATGTGTACATCAATCGAATATGGTATTAAAAAATGGAAATAAATTGACAAGGCACGTCCACGCAACCTAGACAATTGTTTGGAGATTCCATCAAGAATTTTATTAAATTGCAAAGAAAGATAAAAGTAGAAATAATTGTACATGGCAAAAAATTACCAACAAAACTTCACTTTTTACGTGTATGCTCTCCCAAACAAAAAGCATAATATGATTCACGCACGCAACATGGGAGGTATTTGAACTTAACCCTTGATTATATAATATCATGATGGTGTTTCTTATAATTTCATTAAACAGGTTAGCAAGGCTATAAAGCACTTGAGTGCACGAACGCTACAGTTTCTGTTTCACATAATTTTTTATATTTTTTATATTCACAAGATGTGTGTGCGTCGAAATCGGTTCCTTTGTTTTCATACCAGATTTGATTGTTGTAGACATGCTCTATGATGCATATAGGGTGAGTATCTCATAATGGGCCTAAACTTGATTAGCCCCTTGAAATCAAGCTTTTGAGCAAGGCTCATGTTTGACAATGAGAACCAACATTTTTGAACTTTTGGAGTTGTTTCAATAGAATTTTTAATTAATTACTATTTATTTTTTCTTTTTATTTTTGTTGGGACAATTTTGTAATATTTTTTATTTGACTTTTCATTTCCTATTTAAGGGTGTTGTGGACCCTAGTTCGTTCTGTTTAGCCAATTTTGCATATGCTTCGGCATTATTTGGTAATCAAAACTCGAGTGCTTTATCAATGGCTGAACAGATCAATAGCGATTGTGGTCTTGCTTGAAGGGTCAAGTCGGTAGCGGGAAAGGAGGATGTTGAATCCCTCTTCTTGACAGCAATGAATATCAACACCACATAGACATGTGAGAGGTCGAACATGTCTAAGGAAGGGAGCCTAATCGTCGTCTTATGAGGAAGAAGAAGATGACAACCCATTTTGGGACAAGGAGCAATTGGGAGAAATCATCTTGGAATGAAGAATGAGATGAAGATTGAGATCTTTGAATTCGAAGGCACAACTCACCCTGATAAGTTCATCGATTGGTTTCTCACTGACGAAAGGGCCTTTGATATAAAAGACCTAATGGAGGAACAAAAGGTCAAATTGGTTGCAATCAAATTGAGAAATCATGCCTCGATTTGGTTTGGACACGTGAAGAGACAGCGAGCCAGAGATAGAAGTCAAAGTTTAAGAGTTTGGATAAGATGAAAATGTTATTGCAATAGAAATTCTTACCGGCTCATTATAAATAGGAAGCACTTTTTGAACATCACAATCTCACATAGCAAGATATGATAGTGGAGCAATACTCACCTACAAATGTATTGTGACATGACCAACGAAGATGAACAATTGATTGCTCATTATTTGGCGGGATTGAGAGATGAAATCTCTTATTTCGCACACCATGAGCAATACTAGACCTATATATGGTGATGTATGTTAGAGAAATATAATATAAAACCATTAATGTTCCTTTGCCTAACAACTTAAGCTTTTGGGCTGAAATGATTCTTTGCATGGTATAAAAGCCTCTTTCCTAAAGATTTTCTCAAATAGAAATAAAGAACGAAGTAACTAGAAAAAATAGATTGTTATAATACTCCTCTCTTTTTTATAGAGATCATCTAAAAAGAAATGATGATGTATCTAGATTGGCCAAGGTAGAATGTTGATATTGCAAATGATGAGTTGTGGCTGAAGCACAATATATTCCATACAAAGTGTACCAGTGGAGGTAAGGTATGTGTAGCATGATCATAAATGATGGAAACCGTGAAAATGTAGTCTTTAATCCTATAGTGGAGAAATTGTGTTTGAAAATAGAGGAATATCCGCAACCTTACAAGCTTTCTAAGCTTTCATGACGATTTGATAAAAAGATGCATGATGCTTTCAAGAACACCTACACTTTCAAGAAGGATGATCAGACTACTACCCTAGAACCTTTTGATTTGAGGAAGGAAGCAAAGAATAATATATTGTCTAGAGAATACTTTCAAGAGTAAGTTGCTAATGCAGTTGAGATATTTTCTTGTATAGTGATGGATTCTGGTGTTTTGAGGTTAGGTAATTGCTTGAAGACTTTGCTAATTTGGTTCACAAAAAGATGTCATCGGGACTGCCAACTATGGGAGACATCCATCATTACATTGACTTTGTACCGGGAGTTGTTATTCCCCACAAAGTAGCGTAGAGGATGAGCCCTAAGGAGCATGACTAGTTATATAAGAAAGTGCAGGAGCTATTGGCAAAGAGCACAGTGTAGGAGAGCATGAGCCCATGGGAAGTACCAACCATGTTGATCCCTAAGAAAGATGGATCCTAGAGGATATGCATCAATAGCTGAGATGTCAACAGGATTACCATAAAAAATTGTTTTCACATACCTAGCTTTGATGACTTAATGATCAGCGAGGAGCAATCTTTCCAAAGATAGACTAGCGAGGTAGCTATCATCATATCAGGATGTGACCTGGTGATGAGTGGAAGACCGCCTTCAAGACAAGGGACAAGTTATATGAGTGAATGGTGATGTCATTTGACTGATCTAATGCGTTGAGCACATTCATGCGGTTGATGAACCAAGTTTTTTTACCATACATTGGTTCTTTTGTTGTTATTTATTTTGATGATATCTTGATTTATAGCTCCTATGTTCAACAACATTTGAGGAAAGTATTTGAGGTCTTAAGAGAACAATGATTGTGTGGCTTTTCGAGGGTGTATTATTTCTACTATAATGGTATTCAAATGTATCCTGCAAAGATTGAAGCTATTACAGGTTTGGAGACACCGAAGAGCATACATGACATTCAAATCTTTTATGGTCTAGCCTCTTTCTTTAGTAGGTTCCTTCGAGATTTTAGAACCATTATTGCACGTGTCACAAAAGGTCTCAAGGGAAGCATATTTGAGTGGACTAAGGAAATAGATATGGCGTTCCAATTACTAAAGCATAAGGTAATTCAAGCCCCCATTTTAGTGCTCTCTGATTTTTTTTTTATGTTTTTGAGATATATTGTTATGCTTTTGGAGTTGGTATAGGGGGTGTACTGAGTCTGAAAAATAAGCCAGTAGCATTCTTCATTGAGAAGTTGAATGAAGCCAAGAGGAAATACTAAACTTGTGACAAGGAGTTTTATGTTATAATTCAGAGTTTGGGAGTATTGGAGGCATTACCTTATTTCTAAGGAGATTATCCGGTTATCATAAGGCATTGAAGTGAATATTACCTTATTTAGAGTTGTGACTATTATGAATCCTAGTTCGTTAAGTTTAGCCGATTATACATATGCTTCGGCATTACTTTGTCTCGAAAAAAATTAGTATGATCAATTTTCACGTACAAGTGAAGAATCTCCTAATACTTTGCTAAACACTTATATAATAGGAAGAAAAAGGGAGTCTATCAGTGTAATTAAAAAAAGGAGCAAGCAATAACTGTAAAAAGAATATCAAAATCACAGGAAATTTTTCTATTTAGGGAAAAATCACATGAATAAGACAAAAGAATATGATGATATTGCAATGAAGTATTTATCATACGTTCTATTTCTCCTGGTTGCCTGCTTCTCTATTTACTCGCTGATGTATGAGTGTCACAAGAGCGAAGACGCCAATTAAGACAAAGACAGGAATTTGATATATAATGGGAAATTTTGGTCATATTCTTATGGTTAAATCTGTATCAATTATCATCTGAATTGTTTCAACCTTTGAAATAACTGAAACTGATTAGCAAATTAAAGTTTTAAATGTAAATATATTAATATTTAAATTAAGGAACCAAATATGCAAATGAAAATTATATATGAAAGATTTTCAATATTTAAATAATATAAAGAAATATTTATCTTACTTCAGACTAAAGATTTGTATGAAAAACTTTTAAATTCAAATTATAAAAATAAATTTATTTATTACAAGATTTTTCGACGGAATTTTATCATTTTTGGTCGAAAATTTTTGACGGAATTTGTTTTCGTCAAAAATTATTAAAAGAATTTTCGACGGAATTTCATTCATTTTATTTTCCGTCGAAAATTATTACAAGATTTTTTGACATCATTCATTTTTTCGACTGAATTTATTTTTCGTCGCAAAATTTCTACGGAATTATTTTTTCGTTGAAACTTTCCACAGAAATTATTCCGTCAAAAAAGTTGTTACCAACGAAGAGATATTCGATGACTTCATTTTTGACGGAATTTTTCCGTAGAAAAAAAATCATTTTTTGGTAGTGACCACAGGAGATTTAAACAACAACAACAAAAATTAAAGTTAAGTGATAGTAGAATAAATCGTATAAAATATATTTAAAATTTACCCCATTTCTAAAATATTTATACAAAAATATCCCGTAACTCCAAAATTTACGGTCGAGTATGTATGTATATATATATATATATATATATGTATATGAGATAGGATCCTTTGACATTTCATCTGAGAGTCATTAGATCAAAAAAGATCAATGATGTCACATGCTTACAAATCAGAGTCGTTGATCTTTTTTATCTAATGGCTCTTAGATGAGGTGTCAAATTTTAAATTTGACACTCGTGTTAAAGGATCATACATCTATATATATATATATGAGGAAGGATCCGTTTATAAATTTTTTTTTACAAACTTTTACAAATTACACTCTGTATTTTTTGAAATACATTACTAACCGAGTGTACTTCCGGGAGTACACAGTGTAGTTTGTAAGAGTTTGTAAATAAAAAATTTGTAAATATAACCCTCCTTATATATATACATGTGTGTGTGTATATATATATGTATTATGTGTGTGTGTGTGTGTGTGCGTGTGCGTGTGCGTGTGTGTGTGTGTGTGGGTTTAGCGGATGTAAAGTGACTGCACCTAAGGATTGGTGCAGTCATATAAAACTACGTCATTTTATAATGTAAAAGCATTAAATATGGGAAATAATAACCATACAAATGTGGAAATAAATATAAAACATTAAATATGGAGAATCATAACCATACAAAGTTGGAAATAAATATAATATTTTTATTTTCTACAATTAATTTTAAATGTGAACTTCCTTTATCCCACCCAAAACGACGTAGTTTTTAGATGACTGCCCCAATGCTTATATACAGTCACATTACAAATCATTTTGCTTATATATGTGTGTGTGTGTGTGGGGGCATGATATTTTTACACCGGTGTAAGAGTTAGAAGTCTTACACTCAATCTTGACCATCGATCCACTTGTATCAAATGGCTCACATTACAAAAAAATTAGAGCCCTTAGATAAAAGTGGGATCAACGGACAAGATTGAGAGTGTAACTTACACTGGTGTAAAATGATCCTGACCCATATATATATATATATATATATATATATATATATATATATATATATATATGTTTGTGTGTGTGTGTGTGTTGTAAAATTACTAAGAATTAGAATATAGAGATAAGATAATGTATTTTGGTTGTATTGTCACACTACAATGATGCCTTATTTATAGGCTCGGGAAACATGAAAGTTATAATAACTAAAATTATTCTCCAACGGTCATAATATCTCCAACAGCCATAATATCTCCAACAGCCATAACGTCTCCAACGGCCATAACATCTCCAACAGTTATAACAGTTATATAACGGATATGGACAACCAATAAATTATTTATAACAATATATATATAGTTCGATTTTTCTACAACTACCAGTGACAAATTTTTCATATATATATGTTAAAATATTTAATGTGGGGAATCATAACTATACAAAAAGTGAAAGCATTAAATATGGGGAATTAGTACCATACACCTGTTATTACTGCACAGCAACTTTAGATATGATTTTACCATATATATATATATATATATATGGGCAAGATACGGTGTAAGAATTAGAAATCTTACACTCAATCTTGACCATTGATCCACTTGTATCCAATGGCTCACATTACTAAAAAATTAGAGCCGTTAGATATAAATGGAATCAATGAACAAGATTGAGAGTGTAACTTACACTGGTGTAAAATGATCATGACTCATATATATATATATATATATATATATATATATATATATATATATATATATATATATATATATATATATATATATATACGAGGCAAGATCTTCTTATACTGGTGTAAGAATATGAAATCTTACACTTAATCTTGACAGTTGATTTCTATGTATCTAATTGTTATGATTTATTAAAAATTAATAAGTGAGACAAAATAAATAACAATCCTTAAATTCACAAAAATCAACTGTTAAAATTTATGGCAAGAATTATTATTCTTACACTTAAGGGTGTAAATGGATTAGGATGGACTTTTGCTTAGATTGGCCAAACATATGTAAAATACTCTAGGTCTGATTTGACCTGTTAGTCTTGCGTAGACCCACATTATAAATCTGGTATGACTTATATTAAAAAAAGCAAAAGCTTTGGCCTAGACATGTATAAGCCTATTAGGCATTCAATAATTAAAAAATATTAAAATAAGATTATTTTATTATTTAAAATTATTAAAATAATAGTTTTATTTAAATAAATAATGACACAAGCCGGTCTATAGGCTTATAGGCCCAACATGTAAAATAAAGCCTATATTCTTCTTTCTAAATAGATTTTTTCAAAGACTTAATCATGTTCTATTTGACTATATGTAATAATCCGAGCCTAGCTTGATATAGGCTGAGTCGTAGGTCTTTATTAGATCGTCTGACCCATTTACACCCCTATACATTGGTATAAGTTGATCCTATCCATATATATATATATGATTCAGTTATCGATTTTTATTATATGATTCAATTATCGATTTTTATTTCACTACGCCTTTGTTTAGAAAACAAAAGAGGAGGAATACGAAAGTGAGAGTAATAAACAACTGACAAATTTCAGTGAAATTATATATGAGTGTGATACCTGCTCAGTGGAACTCTCTCTCTTGGCTTTGTTGATAACAAGGTCTTCCCTTTTCATGTATTCTCCATACTTGTTCATAAAATCTTGTTTGGACATGTTGATCTCAAAATCACCAACAAGATAGCCCCTATCTCTCAGCATTTGCATCACCGTGTTTTGGATCCTATAAAGCTTTGAGATTTCATCCTCTGAAAAAAACATCTTGAGAAGGAGTTACAATAGTCTAGTGTTGAAACTTGGAACTAAATGGTTCATTTCTTTATGTTCTGTCTTAAAGATATACATGGCGACAATTAAATTAATTTGAGCCAGCTACCTATTTGTCATTAAATAAAAAGTCATTTAAAATTTCCTATATTAATGGGATATTTATTATATGCTTTTCTTTTAATATATCATATTGTTTTTAGTCAATAAGAATTCATCTTCATAAATAAGGATATTTATTTCAGAATTTTTATATTATTATATTATTTTCTTTAATAGTTTTCAATTAACTTTTATTTAATTTCTTCTAATTAATTCATGAGTAGACTATGACTACCTATGTAATCCAAAAAATATATATCTATAAGGATGCGGGGCTAATTTAAGAATGTATCTGCATATATAAAGCAATATTTTGGATTTATATTGCATTACAAATAACACCTTGAGTAATTTTTTATTTTTCTTTTTGGGATGAAGCAAAAATATTCAGAGATAGTTCTGTTTGAGGCGGGTTCAAGATTAATTTGAATTTTGGATCAATTTATAATTAGCCTAAAAAAGAGTGCTTATGACCCTTATTGTAGGAGTTGAAGTTTATTATTTTGATAATTATAATTGAGAATTAGAGAATTACTTTTTTATCGTATCTTAACTTTCTGTTCAACCATGGAATGATTAACTGTAATTATTTATTTATTTTTAGAAGTCAATTATCATTATATTTAATTTAGAAATTTTCTTTATTTTTAGGATTTTAGATTTTGAATTTTGAATTAATTTATAATTAGTCTATAAAAGGGTGCTTATGACCATTGTTGTCAAAAAATAGCTTTTACGTTTTTACTAGAGTGATGATGTTAAAACGCAAGTAAAAACAGTCCTTGGTAAAAGCTGGTAAAAACGTCATGTAAAAGCGTAAAAACGGGAAAAAATTACGTTTTTACCGTTTTGACCGTTTTTACTTAACACGAAATTTTTTTAAAAAAACAGATTTAAAAAAAAAGAAATAAAAAAAAAACCCAATTTTCGTTTTCCCAAATCATATGCATAGTATCTGGATATCATTTTGTTTGGATATATGTCTTTTATAATTATGTCTTATAAAGCTGCAATTCTATTATAAGTTATGCTATGAGAATCGTTTTGTGTTTCTGGATTATTGTGTGCATTAAAAGAAGTGAAATTATATCCTAATGAGCGATGATCCAAAATCTGCAGAGTGCATGAAGCAATTAGAGGAGATTGGTTATCTATTATTTGTTAGTTATCACTGTTTGTAATTTTATACTTGGTTATCAAAAATAATTTTCCTTTTTAGATAGATAAGTGACTCAACACACATGTTCATTATGTAATATTTTTTTTATATGCATATATATAATTTTGTATGTATGAATATATATTTTTGTAATATATTTTTTTATGCATATATATTTTTAAAAAAAAAACAGATTTAAAAAAAAAAAAAAAACCCAATTTTCGTTTTCCCAAATCATATGCATAGTATCTGAATATCATTTTGTTTGGATATATGTCTTTTATAATTATGTCTTATAAAGCTGCAAAATTGATGCAAAATTATAATTATGTCTTTAATGCCGAAAGCTAAAATTGATGCAAAATTCAAAATTCAAAATCTAAAATCCTAAAAATAAGGAAAATTGTTAAAATAAATATAACGGTAATTAACTTCTAAAAATAAATATTCTTACAATTAATTATTCAAAACACGTCCCAAATCTTAAATTTCAAATCATGCCAAATGTGTTGCTGTCTTTTTCTTGCCAAAACAAATTATAATCATATTTGCTACTTCATATGGACTTGGATTGGATCGTAATGTGTTATATTCTAAATTACTGCTTCTTTTAACAATTAGACTATATTTATTGGGCTACAATTCTGATTAACTCTGGGCTTCTTGAATCAATAGTTGGACCATGTGAAATGGATAAACTGTAAGTGTATTATATATATATATATATATATATATATATATATATATATAGAGAGAGAGAGAGAGAGAGCAAATTGTGAGAATGTAAGGGTGCAAATTGTATTTTAAGAATATATCTGCATTGTCGTATTTTGGATTCTACAGAACCTTGGGATTTATTCAGGAAAAAAAAAACATATAGAGAGCAGGAAAAAAACATTTAAGAACAAGGAAGAATTGTGAGAATGGTATCGGATGGATCGCCCGATTCGAGAGCTGAATTAATTATTGAAAAATTAAAAAAAAAAACTACAAACCTGCATTCCAGGTTTAAAAGCAAACTACGAAAAAATAAAGGGAGAATAACTTCTGCTGCGACTGCAGAAGGCTATTCTTGTGCTGATGATATATCATTTTTTTTGCAATTTTTTTTTATTTTTGTAAGTTAATATATGGTGAAACTCATTAAAATATTGTATCAACTGCAAAAAAAATCTTCTCCCATTAAAGGAGAAGAACAAAACACAAAAGTAAAACTTTAAAGGGCTTTGTTTATCTACTGTAGCCGAAGATGACTAAATTTTCCTGCACATAAAAGTAAGCTGGGTCCCACTAGTTTTTGTGAAAATAAATAAATAAAAAAGATTAGGCACGCTTTACGAACTGAGAGTGACATAAGATAAACAAATTACTGCAACACAAGAATACATTTTGCAAACTTTAAAATCCCTTTACATCTGGTCTTATAAAGGAATATATATCATATGGGTGGGAAAACGTGTTGGTAGGTGGATTCATGTGTTGTTAAGTTTTGATAGGGGAGTCAAATTATCTAACTCGAACGATATATTTTTATTCACGAGTTAAATTGGTGGAGACACAAAAATATAAAAAAAAAAATTAAAAAATAAAAGTAGAAGAAAAATTAAATAAAATATTCTGATTTACTCATGACTCGCAACGAGTGATGTCAAAATTTTCAAAACTTTAATTTTTTTTGGACAAAAAATTTTGCGGGTTATGGTCAACCCATGATACAACACAAAATCTGTTTTATTCCACAAGTCTATGGAATCCATATTTTGACATGTCATGACTCACGAGTCAATTCATTACTCGTGACATGTTTTGTCATCTCTCATGCATGCATGACAACTATCTGCCACTCACCGTATTAAACTAAAATAAATTAAAATTTAATAAGTTTGACTGGCGATATTTATTATATTATTTGCTTTTAATATATTATTATACTCTTCTTAGTCAATAATATTAGACAAATGACTTCAAAATGCAAGAGATGGGTGAATTTAGTTTATAAAATCTTTTGAGAAAATATCTCCTTTGATATTTTGAAAAATATTTCTTCAATCTATTGATTTAGCACAATTAATTCTAAGTGAAGACACTAGTGAATAATCAATATATGAACTAGTGAACAAGCAAACACAACTAAATAATGCAATTTAGAGATAAAATAAAGAGTTGAAGGTTAGAGAAATTATAAACTATATGTATACTGGTTCGGTCATCACTACTTGTGACCTGTGTCCAGATTGAAACCGCTAAATCAACTCTTTCACTAACGATCAAGCTTTAGGGTGCTTGACAAATCACTACAATCTTCTAAGTTCATACGTACTTGGCAAACTTACACTTCACTCCAAATTTATCTATTAGTATTTGGTTATCTCTCAAATACAATGGGTCTCACAACCCTTTCGACTCAATAATACAATGGAAAAGTATTTAACAATAGTTATGTACTCTCAAAGTATATATAATACAAATTTATAGCCTAGAGGTGTTGACAATATCACAAGAATAAAGCTCAAATAGTATTAGAAAAGTCCAATTTTTCGATGGAAATTTTCGACGGAAAATATTCTGTCGAAGTCTTCGACGAAAATTTCAACGAAAAGCGTATTCCGTTGAAGTTTTCGACGGAAATTATTTTCCGCCGAAGATTTTTCGATTCGACGGAAAATAATTTTCGTCGAAGATGTTCTACGAAAAATGAATTCTGTCGTAATTTTTTATTAAAAATAAATCATAAAGAAATTATATTTATGGATTTTTCGACGGAAAATGAATTCCGTTCAAAAACCATTATAAATAAATAAATTATAAAAGAAATTATATTTATGGATTTTTCGACGAAATTCATATTCCGTCGAAAACCATTATAAAATAATAAATCATAAAGAAATTATATTTATGAATTGAATTCCGTCGAAAATTATTATAAAAAAATAAATCATAAAAAAATTATATTTAGGATTTTTTTGACAAAATTCATATTCCGTTGAAGATTTTCGACGAAAAATGAATTCCGTCAAAAACCATTATAAATAAATAAATCATTAAAAAATTATATTTAAGAATTTTTCGACGGAAACTTAATTTCGTCAAAAATCATTATAAATGAATAATAAAAAAATTATATCTATGAATTTTTCGACGGAAAAGAAATTCCGTCGAAAACCATTATAAAAAAAATAAATCGTAAAGAAATTATAAACCATTATATTCCCGCTTATCTTTTTGTTAAATTTTTATTAAACCCCCCCTTAATTTTTTAGCTTCCCAGTTCCCACTCTCCCGTTTAAGTCTTCGTTCTTTTTCCCTAAATTTTCCTCCTGTTTCGATTTTTTCCCCTTTCTCCTCCTAGACCCTACCAAAATATATCATCTCTGGTCAATTTCTATTTGTTTTTTGTTTTTTTTTTTCGAACATTATCATGCCCATATTTCTATTCCTTTACAACTTGAGACTTTTTCAAATGGAAACTCCCTGTCCTCACCCTCACAATCCAAGCTGATGATAACAATGGGGACTATGTCAAATTGATGACTCACCCCGACGAGGATTCTGTAACACCCCGTTCTAGAACCGGTTTGTTAACATCGCATTATGATATTAAGCGCAGTTACAATCACATGGGTTCAATTAAAGGTCCGGATAAATTTGTCATTTTAAAACATACCGAACTTATAATACCCAATTTCGTGATCATAACCGTATTACCTTGCGGAATCAGATAAATCAAGCTTAA